TGGGACGTTTTGCACACTCAGAACACCTGAGACCCAACCTGTCAGGTCACAATGCCCAGGTGTCCCAGATCACAGGGTGGATTCTGGTCTCACCCGCACTCCCAGCCAGCATGACGTGACCTCACTGCCCCAGCTCCTGACACTCCTGGTAATGGGAGCTAGCTCCCTCTCAGCCGTTCTCCACACTCATCAGGGCCACTCTCTCTTACAAAGCAATTTCTGGTTCCTTCATCACATCAAAACCAATTCTATTGCTTTACTAACACTGCATAGATGTTCCAGGTTTTATTTAAGAAAAATGCCACGAATGATGCAGTCTTTATAAAAATAAAATCTCACCTTCCATGTTTTTGTCCTCTTTTCATGTCACGTGGCTATGTTCTTTAAGAGCTCTTCATGGCAGCCCAGGATGTGTTTTGTAACAACTTCCCTTGATTGTGCTTTCTTTCTATTTGAGTCACATTCTTCTCTCAATTTATAATTGGCTACTGTTTACATAGAGAAAGATTTTGTGTAATAATTTTGACACTTGCTCATGGGTTAAACTCTTATTTTTGATTTTTGTGTGGTTACTTCTCAATGGTTTTTTGATCATCAAGTCACAATTCTGTAATAATGATTCATCAACCTCCTGACCATGAGATAAAGGCCTGCAGTTTTCTTCTCATTGAATTGCAGTGACCAACAATCTCTGGCCTTTGGAGACCTCATAACCAACCTTTCACTTCATGGAGGAAGAGGCCACGGCCAAACCACAGAGGTCACGGTCATGTCATGTGGTCAGCCTGCGACCGAAGCCCCTGACTTTGCAGAACTCTGGGACCACAATAAAAAAGTCCCTGTCTGTCCCCATCCCCCAGCTTCTACTCTCTTGTTTCTCTTACTCTCCCTTCTCATGTCAAAGATCGACTTCCTTAGTGTCCAAAAGAACCAAACAAGATTTTATCAAACATAGTGGTTTTTTTAAAAAAAGTTTTTGTTGTTATTGTTGTTGTTGTTGTTGTTGTTGTTGTTGTTTTTGTTTTTTAAACTAACAATTCAGTCCTTTTTTTGTTAATGTGATTTCTTCGGAAAAAACCTTTGATTGTTCTTCCAGGACATGATGAAGACTTTCAACTCATGCATGAAGTACAGGCTGCAGTGTCAGGCCATGTCTTGGGAGCTCAGAAACGGGGCAGGGACCAATGAAGGACCCGGGAGAATTTTAAATGCAACACAAAACCCCGGGTCTGTAACCCTCGGACTGAATCTGCCACTCTTTGAGGACCCAAAATTGAGTCAACTGAGTTCAAGTCGAGATTTTTTATTGATAAGGTAGCTCCTGAGAAAATCCACTTTGGGGACAGAAATTTGGGCCACTACCATTCACAAGCCCTGAGAGAAAGCTCTGGGACATGTAGGGACGGTGAGAGACATTGTAAAAGGTAAGGGCGGCTGATACTTTTAAAGAAAAAAAATAGTAATGAAGATAGGAAGGGAAGCAGGGGTGGAGGGGAGAGAGAAGAGAGAGGAGAGAGAAAGAGAGAGAGAGAGAGAGAGAGAGAGAGAGAGAGAGAGAGAGAGAGAGAGAGAGAGAGAAGAGAGGGAGGGAGAGGGAGAGAGAGGAGATAATGTGAAACTCTTACAAAAATTCTCCTCACTTTTAGGGACAATAAAGGTCCCCCACCTGCTCCCCTGTGAAGGCCCAACCAGAAGGGCAACGACCCCAGGCAGGTGGCCTGCCTTAGTGTCACTTCTCTTCTTCCTGATGAGAAAACAGTGCAGGCTGCTCAGTACTCTCCACTCTCTGATCAAGGAGCCTTACCCTGTCTAGACAGGCTATGTGTACAGGAGGAACCGCTTCTCTGACACAAAGACAGAGCCATCCCCTCGCCATCAGGACCAGCTGGTGTTCTGTCCCTGTTGACCCACTGGTCACCATGAGATGACAAGGTTCTGAAAGCCCCAGCCTGGGTGTGTTTAGGCTTTGTCTCCTTGGTGCTGAGCCCTTTGGCATGAACCAGACGGAACAATTTTAGCCTAAAACCAGGAAACACTGTTCACAAAACCATGGAGCCCAGGATTCCAGAAGCCCTGACTGAGCTGGCTTGGGCCTCCTTCTCCACCCTGTGAGCCCCGGAGCCGCTCCTCACCAGAAACCTGGGTCCCTCAGAGGCGGTCGTTCATTGCTGAGCCAACCTGCCACCATCCTGCTTCCCATGAGAACCCAACAAATCCATAGCAAGCTCCCAGTACTTTACTTTAGGTCAGTTAAAGTGAAACAGGCCACCTTCATATGGAGGCCAGTTGCCCACCCATGAGTCTCAGGATCAGCCTCTCTGAATGGTGTGGCTCAGGTCACAGTTCGATTCCCAGTCAAGGGCACATGCCTGGGGGAGCTTGATCACCAGTAGGGAGCATGCAGGAGGCAACTGATCAATGATCATTTTGTCATTAATGCTTCTATCTCTCCCTCTCCCTTTCTCTCTGAAATCAATAAAAACATATTTTTTTAAAAGTGCCCAAAGTTAAGTGCCATTGAGCCCTCACCACTGGCCTGGCATCATGCCAGGTGCCCTGGGTGGTCATTTCATCTTCAAAACGTCGTAGAAGGATGCTACTCTATGTATGAGGCCACAGGACGATAGTGGTAATGCACACGGGACCCTAACTCCCATGAGTCCCACCTACGCGCACAGTCACCTACCTCCTCGCTTTGTGCAACCTGGGCCTGGCCACAGAAATCACTCAGGGAGCTTGAAAACATGACACAGAAAAGAAAAGAGGAAAGGTGCACTAAGATTTTGGATTCCTAGATTCTGGTTCTGCCCTGACTTACAAGTCACACCACCAGTCTAGGCCTCAGATCCCTCCTCAGCAACATCCCAAGTCCCCTCCTCAGTTCTGAGACCCATGGCTTCAGGTGCTGCCCACAGGGTGCAGGAGGCGAAGGGCAGAGGAGTGAAAGGGGCGGGAATGAGATGCTGGCCTTAGTGTAATGGGATGTATTGCCTAACACTATAGGGACTCAACACAGCCAGCCTTGACCTCCAAACCAGTCCCAAACCCTGCCCAGTCTGCACTCACCTCTTCTCCCTCCTGTAGGCAGCAGGCTGCTTGCTCAGCTGATTCTTCATTCTCAGGTCGTTCCTGAAGGTGAGGCAAGTGGTCTGTTGGTATGCTGCTCACACTGCAGCAAGCGAACCAGAGAAACCACTGAGCGGGCAATTCCCATCTGAGCTGCATGGTCCTGGCAGCCACCCAGGGACAAGGACAGACACCCTTTGGCACTGGTGAGTGGGCTTGGCTAGCCAGCAAATGTCTTCAGGGATAGGAGCCACAGAGATGCCGGAGGTCAGCACCATCCTGCTCCTCGGGAAGGTGACAAGGAAGTGACTCTCCCACTGAGAGTTCAGTGGGCACTCAGGTATCTCACAGCATCTGGTGCCACCTTAGCGAGCACCCAGACCAGGAACTGCTTGTGTCCCAGGGGAGACTGAGACCATGAGAGCTGGAAGACATGGAAAAGAGGGGGAGACAGGGAAAATACGTTTCTACTAAATTGGGGCACTTCGTTAGGGCTATGATTGTGAATAAGTTTGAAACAAGTGGGTTGAACATGGCTTGGGTTGGAAACAACAAATAAATAACACTTGAAAATATGATCAAAAAGTGTTCAAAAAGGAATGATCACATGACTCCCTCACTTCACATTTTTGTCTCCTATTTTCTAATTTTTCCTCTCATTCTTCATCAAAACTCTAGGAAAGATTGCCATTATTAGGCGAGTCCCCCATCACTACTTCCCCAAACAATGAAAACACTCCTCACAGAAGGGAAAAAGGCTCCTTGCAGCTCTGTGGAGGCAGGAGGTGAACTCACACAGGCTCGAAGCCCAGAGGTTAGCACAGTGGGCTCTGAACCCCCAGGCTGCCTCTAACCGGCCACCCTGTGCTTCACAATCTTCACTTGTAAACTACATGACAGAGCCTACTTCACCACATTGATGGAACAAGTACAGGGGTTAAGCCCACTGATGCATGCTGTGAAAAGCAGGTGCTTAAAAACATTAGTTCTCCTGATGGCAGTGGGCATAGAGGCTGGGCTGGGAAGCTGGGGTGTGAATGGGAAGGAGGCCAGTGACAGGGTGTTCTATGCAATTACTGTGCCCCACAGTGCTCTCTGTGCAACGGCCACCATGCTTGTGATACATGTCAACATCAAAGACATCTGACAAGGCCCTTCATATTATTCACAGCTTCATCACTCTGACAAGACATCAGGGTGTTAGATTTCCTCTTTCTTGGGGTTACACCTGGACACAGTTTTGCAAGCCATGTGGAGAGTGCAGTCCACAGTGCACAACAGGGCTATAGACACACATCATTGAGGTGCAAGGTACAGGTCTTGAGAATGGAGGGTCCACCCTGCAGGTTCAGGGAATCACTTCCTGTGGGGAGCTAGTAGATCTTGGGGGTAGGCTCCTGGGGAGAAGAGGAGACAGTGAATCAGCTCAGGTGGAATGTGGACAGTGGGACATGAGGGGAAGAGTTGGTCATAGCCAAGGCTAAGGACAGATTTTTTATAAAATATAAAATAATGCAAAGTATCTCTATAGATAAGAGAGCAGGATCCAACATCAGACAACAGAGGCCTCTGGTCCCTGACTTATGCAATGAGAGCTCAGCTCCCTGTCTTTTCTGAACATTAGAAGGTAAGTGTCCAAGCATATGGGAAACAAAAAACATATCAGTGTCCTTATCATCATTATCAACTTGAAACAAGTGTGGACACTCAGCACACAAACACGTGCTGTGATGAAGGGGCAGGAAAAGGTGCATCAAAGGGCTTTGAGGGTGACAGCAGCCTTGGTGTGAGGCCAGCAAAGGCACAGCTTCTCTCCTGCATTATGTGTCTCTGAGCCCCCTCCCCTCCAACCTATAAATACAAGCTGACTGTGCCCTCCACACCACTCACTCCTGTCTTCTCACCTGACCCTCAGATCCAGGTGACTCTCAACTATGAGAACCCTTGCTCTTCTCGCTGCCCTTCTCCTCTTGGCTCTCCAGGCCCAGGCTCAGACCCTCCAAGAGACAGCTGACCAGGTTCCTGCTCAGGAACAGCTTTGGGCTGAGGATCAGGATCAGGCTGGGGACAATGACCAGGATGTGGCCATCTCCTTCACAGGAGAGGAACGCCTCACTCGAGCTGCAGGTGAGACATCAGCTAACCTGCAGTTGAGATCTGTGACCCAATAGAAGGGCTTGTGAGAGGAAATGGGGAGTCTGGGCTTAAAATTTGGTGTGAGGATGAGGGAGGATAAGGAGTAAGTACCTCAATTGGAGAGGAGGGTCGTGAGGCAAGGATCAGGACATAAACAAGTACATTATAGACTAGGATCAGAGTAAATTCATGATCCTACATGACCACACAGAGCCAGTAAGATTCCTTGTGATTTATGACAAACAGGAGAATCCTTTCACCCTAACCTGGCAAGTATTGTCTGCAGTAAATGGAGAGTTCATCTCTCAGAAGATCTCCATGAGGCTGGCTGTGCCACTCCTCTCTGTCTCTTTCCCACTGTGTCTGACCCTCCTCTTCCCTCCACAGAACCTGGGACAGGAACCTATTGCTATCGCACACTCAAAAAATACTGCAATTTCCCTGAAAAAAAAATCTGGGTCTTGCAAGTTGTATGGCCGTCGATGCAAGTTTTGCTGTCGCTAGGCTTTGGGACAGAGACCGGAAGCTCTTCGAGATGCCACTGCAGACCCGAAGCAGCTTTCAGTCTTTGTACCTGTACCTTTTCTTCTTTCTCTCATCAAAATAAACTCCAAGCAATAAACTCACTGTTTGGCTTTCCTTTTCTTTTCCATAAGACTTGTGTGTGTGTTCACTTATGTAGAGAATTCTGTCTTGAGTACTCTACAGTAAGTTGATCAGCTTTTGCATCTCAGTGGTACACAACTACAGCATCACACGGCAACAATCAGCAAAAATAAGCATAATTTTTTAATTGATTTTTTGAGAGAGAAAAACAATGATTTGTTGTTCCACTTATTATACATTTGTTGGCTGCTTCTTATATGTGCCCCAACAGAGAAACAAATCCACAAACTTGACGTATCAGAACTATGCTCTAATCAACTGAGCTACCTGGCCAGCACCATAATTCTTAAGACAATTTGAACCTACAGGATTCAATCCATTCGTAATGGAACTAAAAAATAAAATGTTTTTATGGAGTGTCCAGAAAGTGTTGTTGACTCCAGGTTAGGTGGATCCATTGGGCTGTGTCACTTCTTGTTTAATTTTAAGAAGGGGAAGGGCATTGATGTGTATGGATATTTTCTGATGATAAGCATACACATTTTTCCTAGCTGTATCTGCAAGACAGAGTGAACTAGTGGCTCAGTGTACCAACAACTCCAAAAACCAACGGTACTGACAAGCATCAGTTGTCTCAAATAATGACCAGAGAAAGGGGATGATCTTGCTGAATGACCAGTGAAAGAAAAGGTCCCCCTTTAAATCCAAAAGATAGATTATTTCAATGTCCAAGAAAAGAATTGGTTTCAACTCTCTCTCTCTTTAAAAAGATAGTCTACTAGTTAAAATAAACCATTAATAATTTTAATAAAAATCTATCAAGAAACAATATGTTTTTCATAAATTGACTGACCTTTCACTCCCAAAAGGCAGGCTGCTGTTAAGCCATTAATATTCATAGAAAACATTTTTCTAGAAGAAAAGCAAATCTTTTTGCCCTTTCTTCCCCCTTTTCTAGTTGCCACAGATGTCCTTACAGCCACAACCTGAACTCCACTCCGAGCCTGTGTTGTATTGATAGTACCTTTGATTTCTTCTTTGCCCTGTGGCCACTTACATTTAGATAACTTTTTTCCTGTAAAGACTGAAAATGAGAAACAATATTATTTTCAACCTTTATTATCAATTTCCATGGACCCCTCTCAGCTTTCAGCACCAGGACAAAGAAGCACTACCACATGGAAGACTGTACTCTATAAACATCAGTGGGAAAAACACAAAATGCATCAATTACAAAAAATATTTTTTATACTACATGAAAATCCTGTATATAGGAGAAAAGGCTAAAAGAAAAAGAACAAACTCTGGAAATAATTTGCAGTTCTTGGAACAAAGAGCTAATTTCCTGAATTTGTAAATATACTATACTATTCAATAAAAATAAATGGGTCCATTATTTCATTTGCCAAAACAGATGTAAAAAAAAAAAAAATCTCAGAGAAAACAAGTACAGGTACTTGTTAGACATGGACACACGTGGCCCCTGACTCTTGAGAGAAGCAAAGCCAGGACTCCTCTCCCCTTCTAACAAGACCCCCTAATGGGCCACACACCCCAATTGCACAGAACCCAATTGTCCAGGACTCCCCTGGGATGGCAGTTCTTATCTGTCAAATGGGAGAGATACCAACCTTCACAGTCCAGGTGTCACACTGAATATGTAAATGGAACAGTGTTCAAGTTAAGTTTGTCAGAGAAAGGCAAACACAGACTATTTGGACTGTGGTGGTTCTATTACCATAGACTGAGAATCAGAGCATCTTGGAGTCTCTGCCATTGGCCAAGATGTTGCAGGGGGAGGTTCGTACACCAAGAACACCAAAAGCTAGAAGTATGAATGGACAGGACATGATTGCATGGAAATCTAGGAAGATGAATGGACAGGACCCCAGCATATAAAAAACTAACATGATAATTGGATAGAAATAGCATCTCTATGAGAATTCTGGGCATGAGCAGGAAGGGGAGATGGTCTTAGAGATGAGAGTCCAACATCCTTCCAGGTCATACAGCACATGAATAAACTTATTTTCTTTTGCACCAGCACCTGCCTCACAAGTTCGGCTTTCATAGACACAGGCAGCCAAACGTCCATTTTCTTGTTCAGTTAAGGTTCCTGCAGAAAGGACGAAGGCTAATCTGGAAGGGGAGATAGTTATTTTTTACTCACTTCTACCTTTTGAATTTTGTTCTTTGTGCAAAAATATTATATTTTTTATTTTTAATTATCAGAAATTTTTAAATATCAGAAAGTTGACTTTTGGAACCGGTTATTTGCTATTTCTCCAAAAAAAGCACAAGTAAGTTGTGAGTAGTATGTGCCATATGTGTAGATCATACTGATGTCCTGAAATAAATCTCTCCTTCAGATTCACTCTGACCAACTCCTTTCTTCGTGTCCTCAGTGCTTACTCCATCTAAGCCTGAGTCACTGGCCCCTCCACCACAGGAGCCTAACTCCCAGGACCTCACAAGATCCCCAACAGGGAGTGATTACCTGAACCTGCAGGATGGACCCTCCACTCCCTCAGGGAAGATCTGGCCCCAGGGCCAGGGACTCAGAGGTGAGCAGGGCCCACATCAGACAACTGAGGCATCTGGTCCATGACTTACTCAATGAAAGCACAGTTCCCTGTTTTGTGAACATCAGAAGGTCAATATCCAAGCAGATGGGAAACAGAAAACCTGCCAGGTCCTTATCATCATTATCACCTTGAAACAAGTATGGACACTCAGCACAAGGACACATGCTGTGATGAAGGGCCAGGAACAGGAACATCAAAGGGGCTTTGAGGGTGACAGTGGCCTTGGCCTGAGGCCAGCCAAAGGCACAGCTTCTCTCCTGCATCGTGTGTCTCTGAGCCTCCTCCTCTCCAACCTATAAGTACAGCCTGACTGTGCCCTCCACACCACTCACTCCTGTCCTCTCAACTGACCCTCAGTTCCAGGTGACTCTCAGCCATGAGGACACTGGCTCTCCTTGCTGCCCTTCTCTTCTTGGCTCTCCAGGCCCAGGCTTGGACCCTCCAAGAGACAGCTGACCAGGTTCCTGCCCAGGATCAGCCAGAAGCCAAGGACCAGGGCGAGCTATGGGCCGAGGACCAGGAGCAGGCTGGAGACGATGACCAGGATGTGGCCATCTCCTTCACAGGAGAGGAACGCCTCGCTCGAGAGGCATCAGGTGAGACAACAGCCAATGTGATTTGGGATCTGTGGCCCAGTAGAGGGGCTTGTGAGAGAGTAGTAGAGTTAGATCTTAAAATGGGGTAAGAGGATGAAGTGAGGTAAAGAGTAGGTGCCTTTGGAGGAGGGTTGTGGGGCAGGGACCAGACATAAGCATCTACATCAGAGTCTAGGATCAAACCAACACAGAGCCAGTAAGATTTCTTGTGATTTATGACAAATACGTAAATCTGCTCACTCTAACCTGGCAGGTATTGTCTATGGTGAGTAGACACCTAGTGACTCAGAAGATCTTCATACGGCCAGCTATATCTCTCCCCCCTGATCATTCCCCACTCTGCCTGACCCTTCTCTTTCCTCCACAGGCTTTTGGAAACTAAGACGCTGCACGTGCCGACGCAACCTCTTCTGCAAGTCCTTTGAGAGTCCTTCTGGAACCTGTATAATCAATGGCTATAGATACAAGCGTTGCTGTCGTTGAGCCAAGTAGAGCAAATCCCAAACCACTAGGAGATTCCATGAAGGCTTAGAAAAGCATTTAGTCATTTTATCTGTGCCTTTTCCTCTTTCTTTTTCTATAATAAACCTCAAGCATTAAACTCACTGGCTTTTTATTTCCTTCCCATAAGACTCATTTACATGATTCCCTTGTGCTGAGAGTTCTGGCCTGAATGGCCTGCAGTAAATCCACCTGCCTTTGCAACGCAGCGATGTATGATACAACTAGAGCATCATTGCTGGCAATAACAAACCAGCAAAACTGGACATAATTCCTGATTAAACCATTTCTACCTACAAAATCAATCCATTCACAATGAACACACAAGGAACGTTCTGCAGAGTGTCCAGAAGGTATTGTCGACTACATGACAGGTGGACCCAATGGGCTATGTTACTTGTTCATTAATTTTAAGAACCGGGAGAGCATTGATGTGCATGGATATTTCCTCATGATTAGCAGGCATTTGAATTACACTCAAATTTTTCTCAGCTGTGTAAAGGTAGAGTGAACTAAGGTTCTGTGTGTCACCAACAGAGAAAAGGAAGCACTACACCAAAGACTGAGTACTGACTAGCATCAGTGTCTCAAATAATGACCAGAGTAATCAGTGTAGATGGTCATGCTCATTGAGCAGTGAAATAGATGGCCTCCCTTTGAACCTCAAAGAGTAGAATACTCCAATATCCAATGGAAGAATTGGTCTCAACTCACTTTTGTTAATGAGATTGAGCCTACTAATTATACTAAACCCATACAAATGTTAATAAAATGCTGGCAAGAAATAATGTTTTTAATAATCCCAATGACAGGACCTTCAGCTAGGCAGGCTGCTGTGAACCCATTGAGATGCATAAAAGCCTTCTTTCAAGTAGACAAGCATCACTCTATTATCCTTTCCCTTTTTCAGGGTTGCCATAGACATTCTAAACCAAGGTTTCAAATTCTACCCTGAATGTAGGTTGAACTGATAAAACCTTCAAATTCATCTTTGCCCTGTGGCCACTTCTATTCTGAAATATTTTCACTGAAAAGACTCAAAATAATGAACAGTGTTATTCAAACCTTTACCATCATTCTCCCTGATACTCTCAACTTCCACCAACAAGATAAAAAAACACAAACTTTTACAAACTTTGGTGGGGAGGAGCAGAGGAAAAAAACACAAAAATTACCAAAAAAAGAAAAGAAAGAAAGGAAACTACATAAAAATCCAAAATATCTGTGTAGACAGGAGAAAAAGCCAAAAAATAAATTATAGACTCTGGAAATGATTTGCAGGACTTCAAACAAAGAGCTAATATCCTGAATTTAAAAATAAATCCCAAATTTCTACAGAAATAAAAGAGCCAGCTAATGAATTTCCCAAAACGGATGCCAAAAAAGAAAGGACATTCAGAGAAAACAAATATAGGTACTTGTTAGATGTGGATATATGTGGCCCCTGACTCTTGAGAGAAGCAAAGACAGGACTCCCTGGGATGGAAGTTCTTACCTGTCAGAGAGAAAGATGCCAACCCTCACAGTCCAAGTGTCACACTGCTTGCAGCCAACACCAGGACCCCAGCATCCCTGCCACCAGCGGCTGCAGAAAGTAAGGAGCGTGTTTTTCCCAAGTCACAACAGTCTGTTGTGGGCAGTCTGGGAGGTGGGTAACATGGCTCAACCTGGGCGTCAAGGATGGGCTTCTCACATCCTCTTGCCCCCCCATCTACATGGAGTAAGTGCCCTCTTCACAGTCAAAATCCAGTTACCACAGATCCACGGCTCCTTGCCGCCAAGCAGAGAGATGAATATATGTAACAGTAGCATAGCACAAATGTGGAGCAGTAACAGTAATTCATTTTGTAATTTTCAAATTTTTAAATGTACCCTCTTCTCAGGGTACATCAAGGGTTTCCTATCCCTGTGGCTTGGGAGTCATGCCATGTGTGCCCATTTAGGACCACTTACAGTATTGATTGACAGGAGATAAGATGCAAAATCCAACTTTTGAGTTCTTATTTGTAACTAGAGGTCTAGTGCATGAATTTATACCTCGTCCTGGACTGCATCCTTTAACAATCTGGGATCCTTCAAATTGATGGTACACGGATGCGACCTGATCCCTGCAGGCCAGACCGAGGGACCCCACCAGTGCACAAATCTGTGCACCAGGCCTCTAGTATGAATATATGATCTTTGGTTAAACACTTCCAACCTTCCCCCTTCCCACTTTCCTCTGAGATTCATCAGTCTGTTCCATGTTTTCTTGCTTGTGCCTTGACCATCTGACCCTGGTAATCAGTGGGTGTCATAGCTACTGGTCCAATGGTCAAGCAGTCAAATGGTCAAACTGTCTCTTGGGTTTTTATATATATAGATAATGGATTTATAGATCCAAGTTTTGTTCATAGGTCCCCACTTGGTCTGGGTTCAGGCTATGGTTATGGTTTTGGGTTTGTACTTTGGAGTCATGAGAGTTGTTCTGTTTCAACTCCTAAAGGCCTAAATTTCAAGATTGGCCCAGGTATAGCTGCGACTCAATGACTAAGGAGGAACTGGTTTTCTACTGTAGCACTGCTTGGGCTGTGTGTACTTTAGACTATGGGCAAGAATGGCCCCTAACTGGCTCCCTTACTGACTACACCCTCATACAGTAGGAATTGTTTGCCATGGAAATGGGATGAGAGCCATTATGTCTGGGCACTATGTCTTCACACAGTAAGGATTTGGCCAAGAAAGGGAGAAACCTAATGGTGCAGAGAAAGAAATTGGCCTCAAACCTGCTCCCTCGTAGTGAAACACAGGAAGAAAAGGGAAATGCAGAGAGGGGGACCCAGGATTCCAGCAGGAGGATTTTCCCTGCCACTACCCCAACTACTAGGTACTCTAAGATAGGGCCCAGAGGAGTGGTCTCCCCTCAACACCTAGCAGGACACCCCATTTGGCCAGGGAGCATCCTATCCAGGGCAGGAAAATTTTGTTGGAGGCCCTGCCCTATAGATAGGATATCCCAGGAGGCCAGCACACTGGCTGCTATTGGGCCCAAATTTCATTTCCCACTTCAGAGTCATTGAATTGGAAGCTATCCAACCCCTCATATAGGGAGAACACTCAGAACATGGGAGATCTTATTACTTCCAGTGTTGCCACTCACCATTCAATTGGGCAGACATACAGGCTCTCCTTACCATCCTGCTAATGGTAGATGAAAGGCAGCTAGTTATAAATAAGGCTAATGAAGAGCCTCATCGTCTCCATCAAGACAATCCTAATGGGACCCCCAATGTAGCTGGAGCAATTCCCTTGGCAGAGCCCTACTGGGATCCAAATAGTGGGGACCCTGCCTTCCTAGAACATTACAAAAGATGCATATAAGAAAGGCTTAAGAAAAAGGTACCTAAACAAAGAGTATGATATGATATGTGCTGTTCAACAGAACCAAACGCAAATCCTTCTGAATTTTTAAAAAAGCTCTGTCAGACCTATTGAAAGCACACTGATACTGGCCCCATGGGTACCAGAAAATATCAGAATGGTAAATATGAATTTTTAAAATTGATTTTCAGAAAGAGAGGGAGAGAGAAACATTGAATAGCTGCCCCCCTCATTACCGCTAGTGGGCATCAAGCCCACAACCTGTGCATGGAAATTGAAACAGCAACCTTTTTGTGCATGGGATGATTCCCAACCAACTGAGCCACACTAGCCAGGGCACTAAATATGACTTTTATGGGGCAAAGTGCCCCAGATATCAGAAGGAAGTGCAAATATTTAAATAGGGGATTGGGAATGAATCCCTTCCAGCTGGTGGACAGAGCCTTTCAAGTTTACCGTACTTGGAGACAAGGCCACTGTTTTCTTAGGAATCAGAATGAGAGGTAAGATCCGAAAGGAAAAGGGAAGGACCTGCTGGGCACCAATGAATGTGTCGCCTGAGGAGGACACTCATCTCTCTGCTGCTATTGATATTGCAAGAGAAAGCTGGGGCTCACTGCTGAAGGAGAATGAAAATTTCTCTCTCAGAAAGAGTAGTGCCTCCCAAAGCTAAGTTACAATGTTACTTTTAAATTTATTTTGCATTTCCAAGACATTGGCTTCCTCAGGAAATTTATCCCACTGTTTGGTGTGCTACCCAACGCCCTGCTCAGGCTTAGATCATGAGGTACTCTAGTCTCTTCCGTCTCTGATGTCATTAAAACTCACCATGCACTAAACACTTGTCTGCACAATAGATCTCATTTTGAAGCTTATCAGCAACATCAGCTTTTGAAATATGAAGGAATCTACCAACCTCATTTGCTCAGCAGTGCCATCCTCTAGACCCCACCTATGCCGCCTTCCAAAGAAAGCAATCCTCCTCCATCCCATACAGGCTTCTCTTCATTCCTGACCCTCTCTTCTTTTAAAAGACAGTAAGACTCTCTGGATCCAGGGATAGGTAATATTATGCCCTTTGACAAGAAACTACAGAAGATGAAACTTACCTTCATTTACCCTTGTAACATAACAAAAGTCCAGAGATATAAAGACAGCCAGTTGGAGCCCTGGAGTCTCACCCATTGTCCAAGATGATGCAGCGGGAGATTTTTACACTCCCTATTCCAAACACTAGTGAGACAATTGGATAGGAAATAACACCTCCCCCCCCATTTCTATAAGAAGGAAGGCTTCAGCATGGAAGGGAGATGGGTTTTGAGGCTGGAGTCCACCATCCTCCCAGGTCCACAGCATCTGAATAAACTATTAGGTCTAGTAATAATTAATGTCGTTTTCTAATACTTTTTTTAAAATCGAATTTATTTAAACAATACAACAAAATTTAATCAACAATATAGTTGCCGTTGTTTTCTACTACTTGTGCCCAACACTCAGGAAGCATTTTAATCCCTCTGTTGTAAAATTCTTGTGATTTTGATGCAAAAATTCGGTCAATGCATTTTTGAGGCATTCTTCATTATTAAATTTTTTTCCAAGAAGAAAGTTTTGCAAAGAACGAAACAAATGGTAATTGGAAAGGGCAATATCAGGAGAATATGCAGGTTGAGGGAGAACTTCCCATTCCAACTGGCGCAGTTTTTCTGCAGTGATTCTTGCAGTATGCAGTCGTGAGTTATCGTGGTGAAGAATTACGCCCTTCCGATTAATCAGCGCGGGTTTTTTTTTCTCTTAAAGCTTGGGCTAACCTTTCCAATTGGGCACTATACACTGCACTTGTAATGGTTTGTTAGATGGTAAAAGTTCATAATGAAGAATTCCTTTAAAATTCCACCAAACACACATCACTTTTTTCGCATGCAAGTCAGGTTTTGGCGTGGGCTGCGGAGCCTCATTTTTGTCCAACCATTGAGACGACCTTTTCAAATTAACATACAGCACCCATTTTTCATCTCCGGTAACCATTTGCTCTAAAAGCGGCAAACGGTTTTGACGAGAGAGGAGCGAACTGCAAATTGTGACTCTTTGATTATGGTTGTTGTTGGTCAACTCATGAGGAACCCATTTTCCAAACTTTTGGACTTTGCCAAGTGCATGCAATTGATTGGAAATTGTTTTTTGTGAACAATTTAAAGTTGTCGCAAGCTCTTGTTGGGTAATTTGAGGATTTTGCATCAAAAGACCTTGAAGAGCTTCTTGATCAAAATTGGACACACGGCCTCGACCACTCTTGTCATCTAACGAAAAATTTCCCTCGCAAAATTTCTCAAACCAACGCTGGCATTTTCTGGCGCTAACTGCATCTTGACCAAGAGCACTACAGATGTTTTTTGCAGCCTCACTTGCTTTTCTTCCTAATTGGAACTCGTAAAGCATGCAGTGCCGAATATGCTCTTCATCCGCCATGTTCTTAGCCCTAGTTTTGCAACAAAAACCAAAGCAAACACAAACTTTTTCAGGCAAAACTTGTTAATTGCACTTTTGCTGCCACAGTCAGCTGAAGTACCATTTGTTGTTTGTTTGGTTAGAGTTCCAGCAGAAAGAATGGAAGATTGATCCTGGAAGGGGAGACTGCTATTTCACTCATCTCTCTTCTAGTTATGAATTTTATTCTTTGTGTAAGAATTAATATTTATTCATTTCTGAAGATCAGAAAATTTAGAGGAGAGCTACAGAAACTTCTTTGTGTTTACTATTTCCACGAAAATGTTACAACAAACTGGTAAACAGTTTATGTGATACATATAGATCTAACTGTCATCCTGAAACTAATTTATCTTTAGCTTGGCTTTGATCAACTCCATCGTTCATGTCCCACTTCACTCACTCCACCTGAGCCTGAGTCACTGGCCCCTCCACGAAGGAGTCTACCCCCTCAGGACCTCACAAGCTCCCCACAGGGAGTGATGACCTGAACCTGAAGAATGGACCCTCCACTCCCTCAGGGAAGGTCTGGCCTATACCTATACCTTTTCTTCTTTCTCACTTCATAATAAACTTTAAGCATTAAGACTATCAGAGGTGAGCAGGGCCCACATCAGACAACTGAGGCATCTGGTCCATGACTTACTCAATGAGAGCACAGTTCCCTGTTTTGTGAACATCAGAAGGTCAATATCCAAGCAGATGGGAAACAGAAAACCTGCCAGGTCCTTATCATCATTATCACCTTGAAACAAGTGTGGACAATCAGCACAAGGACACATGCTGTGATGAAGGGCCAGGAACAGAAGCATCAAAGGGGCTTTGAGGGCGACAGCAGCTTTGGTCTGAGGCCAGCCAAAGGCACAGCTTCTCTCCTGCATCATGTGTCTCTGAACCTCCTCCTCTCTGACCTATAAGTACAGCCTGATTGTGCCCTCCACACCACTCACTCCTGTCCTCTCAACTGACCCTCAGTTCCAGGTGACTCTCAGCCATGAGGACCCTTGCTCTTCTCGCTGCCCTTCTCTTCTTGGCTCTCCAGGCCCAGGCTGAGGCCCTTCGAGAGACAGCTGACCAGGTTCCTGCCCAGGACCAGCCAGAAGCCAAGGACCAGGGTGATCTTTGGGCTGAAGACCAGGACCAGGCTGGGGATGATGACCAGGATGTGGCCATCTCCTTCACAGGAGAGGAACGCCTCGCTCGAGCTGCAGGTGAGATGCCAGCCAACAGGGTTCTATGCAATTGGGGTCTGGGGCCCATTAGGGAGGCTTTTTAGAAGGGGCGAGGAGTCTGGGCTCAAAATTGGGTGTGAGAATGAGTGTGGGTTAGGAGTAGTGGGGGAAGGAAATAAGCATATGCATCAGATACTAGGATCAGAGAAAATTCATGATCCTGAATGACCTCACAAAGCCAGTAAGATTCTTTGTGATTTATGAGAAACACATGAATCCTTTCAGCCCCACTGGACACATGTTGTCTATGATGAATAGACATGTTGTCTCTCAGAAGATCTCCATGAGGCTGCTGGCCTTTCCTCCCTTTCGCCTTCCCAACTGCCTGACCCTCCTCTTCCCACCACAGATCTCCAGAACACAAACTATTGCACATGCCGACGATCCTTCTGCAAGTTCTATGAGCGTCATAATGGAAAATGTAAGATTCGCGGCCATAAATACAAGCTTTGCTGTAAATGAGTTTCGTGGACCAAGACGCTAATAACTATGAGATTTCACTGAAGACCTAGACAATGGTTTAATCATTGTACCTATACCTTTTCTTCTTTCTCACTTCATAATAAACTTTAAGCATTAAACTCACTGTTTGGCTTTTATTTCCTTTCTTTAAGACTCATACATGTGGTTACCTTGTGTACAGAATTCTGTCCTGATGGTTTAACAGTAAGTTAACCTGCCTTTCATTTCGGTGATGCACAGATTAAGCATTGCACAGTAACAACAAACCAGCAAAAATGAACATAATTGTTAATTAAGACTATTTCAACCTACAAAATTAATACTGTTCATAACGAAACTCAAAAGAAGGAAGTTTTTATGGAATATTTAGAAGGTGTTGAGGATATGGTTTTGGGTTTGTACTTTGGAGCCATGAGGGTTTTTCTGTTTCAACTCCTGAAGGGAGTTCACAGGCCTAAATTTCAAGATTGGTCCAGGCATAGCTGCGACTCAATGACTAAAGAGGAACTGCTTTTCTACTGTAGCACTGTTTGGCCTGTGTGTTCTTTAGACAATGGGCAAGAATGGCCCCTAAATGGTTCCCTTACAGACTATGCCCTCATACAGTAGGAATTGTTTGCCATGGAAATGGGATGAGAGCCATTATATCTGGGCACTATGTCTTCACACAGTATGGATTTGGCCAAGAAAGGGAGAAACCTAATGGTGCAGAGGAGGAAATTGGCCTCAAAATAGTATAGTTCTTACTGTTGTCCTGAAACAAATTTGTCCTGGAAGAAAAGGGAAATACAGAGATAAGGACCCAGAATCAGCACTAGGAGAATCTCCCCTGCCAGCTTTTAGGTACCCTGAGTTAGGCCCAGAGGAGTGGTCTCCCCTCAACACCTCGCAGGACACCCCATTTGGCCAGGGAGCATCCTATCCAGGGCAGGGCAATTCTGTTGGAGGCCCTGCCCTATAGATGGGATATCCCAGGAGGCCAGCACACTGGCTGCTATTGGGCCCAAATTTCATTTCCCACTTCAGAGTCATTGAATTGGAAGCTATCCAACCCTTCATATAGGGAGGACACTCAGAACATGGGAGATCTTATCACTTCCAGTATTGCCACTCACCATTCAACTGGGCAGACATACAGGCTCTCCTTACCATCCTGCTAATGGCAGATGAAAGGCAGCTATCAATAGTTATAAATAAGGCTAATGAAGAGCCTCATCGTCTCCATCAAGACAATCCTAATGGGACCCCCAATGTAGCTGGGGCAATTCCCTTGGCAGAGCCCTACTAGGACCCAAATAGTGGGGACCATGCCTTCCTAGAACATTACAAAAGGTGCATATAGGAAAGGCTTAAGAAAAAGGTATCTAAACAAAAGAGCCTGAATATGATACAATCATTCAACAGAGACTACGCATTTTTCTGAATTTTTAGAAAGGCTATATCAGACCTATTGAAAGGACACTTAGGCTGATCCATGGGCATCAGAAAACATCAAGATGGTAAACATAAAAAAATAAAAAAAATTAAATTGATTTTGAGAGAGAAAGGATGGAAGTGAGAGAGAGAAAGAGAAACAACAACATTAATTGGAAAGGGAAACATTGATTAACTGCCTCCCACATGTCCCCTACTAGAAATTGAGCCTGTAACTCAGGCACGTGCCCTGACTGGTAATCGAACCAACAACCTTTTGGTGCAGGGGATGACCCCCAACCACCTGAGCCACACTAACCAGGGCAGTAAACATGACTTTTATTGGGCAAAGTGCCCCAGATATCAGAAGGAAGCTCAGACATTTACACAGAGTGTTGGGCATGAATCCCTCCCAGCTGGTGGACAGAGCCTTCAACATTTACCATGCCTGGAGACAAGCACATTACAGCAGGCCACCATTTTCTTAGAAATAGTGCAGGAAACCAGAAGGAGAGGCGGGATCTGAAATGAAAGGAAAAGACTCACTAGGCAAAGAGGAAGACCATTGGAGAAAGGACTGACTAGAATTCCAGGAGAAAAATAAAGAGGATAGGAAACCTCACAAGAAATGGTAGAAAGGGATGATGAATCTGATGAAGAATGAGGAGGCCTAGCAGCTCCCACAGATACCCTCTGACCTATTACCGTTTCCCCATAGGAGCCCTGGGTACAATGGACAGTGGGGAACACGGCCTTTGATTTCCTTGTAGATATTAGAGCTACATACTCACTGCTAAATACAAAACTGACCAACAAAAGTTGAGCAGAAAGGGGATGTGACCAGATAATTACAAACCCAGGCATCCCTTCAACCTCTAGCATGCCAGCTTGGGGATCAGACACTTACCCTTCATTTTCTCTACTTGCCAGACTGTTCCTTTTCATAGTTGGGTAGAGATTTACTTAATTAAACTGCATGCATAAATAACTCCTTCTCCTGAGAAGCAGCAATTAAATTTATAGCCTTGATCGAACTTGGTCTCCAGATCCAGGTGCTCCTGACTTGACCTGGAAGTGAACTCTTCCTACCCAAGGTCTATGACCAGATCTACTGAGCCCTTTGGGCCCCTCGAATCCCATGTAGAGAGGTTAACATTCAACCCATCAAAATTAACCTGAGCATTTGCCCAAACAGTTATGGCAAATGAAGCCCTGTTGAAATAGTTTATGGGAGGATCTACCAAGTTCCTGTTTAAGAACAGGTGAAGATACCAAGAAACAAAATATACCCCCTTGTAAGTGAGCTTTGGGTAGAATTCACACCTCTACTGCTAGATTCTTAAAATCAGAATTAGTTCGGCTATGCCAGTCTCCTTATAACACTCCCATTTTGCCAGTCAAAAAGCCTCAAAGACCATCATTCTCTTGAAATACAAGAAAGACACTGCAGATTCAATGGAAGCAATTGGAGACCCCAATCTATAGAAAAGACTGAAAAAAGATGACCCTTGCAAAATATGCCAGGAAACACATTTGAAAAGGGACCAGAAACTGCCTCTTGCCTTGCTTCAGATGAGGGTAGTGCCCTGAAATGAGGCTCAATTGACGAACACCCCCCCACTTTTTTTTTTAAATATATTTTTATTGATTTTTCACAGAGAGGAAGAGAGAGGGATAGAGAGTTAGAAACATCGATGCGAGAGAATCATCGATCAGCTGCCTCTTGCACATCCCCTACTGGGGATGTACCCGCAACCAAGGTACATGCCCTTGACCGGAATCGAACCCGGGACCTTTCAGTCCGCAGGCTGACGCTCTATCCACTGAGCTAAACCGGTCCCGGCACCCCCCCACTTTTAAAAATATATTTTATTGATTTTTTTATAGAGTGCAAGGGAGAGGGATAGAGAGAAACATCGATGAGAGAGAAAACACCAATCAGCTACCTCCTGCACACCACCTAGTGGGGATGTGCCCGCAACGAAGGTAAATGCCCTTGACAGGAATTGAACCTGGGACCCTTCAGTTCACAGGCCAAAGCTCCATCCACTGAGCCAAAAACGGTTATGGCACATGAAGCCCTGATGAAATAGTTTATGAGAGATTCTACCAAGTTCTTGTTTTAGGAACACCTCTTTATACTGAGAACATGAACATAAAATCATATACTATGGACAACATTTAGAGCAAACACTAACCATTGTGCACAGGTTTGCTCATTGTAGGATCTTCCATTTGACTGACTCCTGCTTCAGCCAGGAGACCAAGTCTTTTTAAAAAATTTTATTTTTATTGATTTCAGAGAGGAAGGGAGAGGGAGAGAGAGAGAGAGAAACATCAATGATGACAGAGAATTGTTGACTGGCTGCCTCTTGCATGTCCCCTACTGGGGAACGAGCCTACAATCTGGGCATGTGCCCTTGACCAGAATTGAAGCCGGGACCCTTCATTAAGCAGGCTGACGCTCTGTCTAGGGAGCCAAACCAGCTAGGGCAGTGGTCAGAAAACTGCGGCTAGTGAGCCACATGTGACTCTTTGGCCCCTTCAGTTTTTAGCAAAGACCAGCTTAGGAGTACCCTAATTAAGTTAATAACAATGTACCTACCTATATAGTTTAAGGTTTTTTTTGTTTGTTTTTTTAAATAGCTCTCAAAAGAAATTTCAATAGTTGTATTGTGGATATTTGGCTCTCTTGACTAAAGAGTTTGCTGACCACTGAGCAAGGGCAAACAAGTCTTATTAAACATCCAGAAGAATCGCAGTCCTAAACAGCAGCTAGCTGAGCAATGGAGGAGACCCTAGGTTAACATGCTGACAACACACTCTTCCCCTTAAGTTCACAGGAAGCAAACGTTTCATCCACCACACTTTTAAAGCGGTGCTGACTGAGGAGGACCCAGATCTGGCTGCTGCTGTTGATACTGCAAGGGAAACCTGAACCTGCATTCCCAAAGGAGACTGAAAATTCCTCTCAGAAAGGAACAGCACTTCCCAAAGCCAAGTGACAATGTTACTTTCCACTTTCTTCTGCATTTTCTGGACAGTGGCTTCCTCAGAAGTTTATCCCACTGTTAGGAGTGCCATCCAAAGCCCGGCACAGGATATAATCAGGAGGATCCGTTAGTCTCTGAAGTCTTAGATTTCTCTACAACTCGCCCTGCACTACTAAGCATGCCCCTCATTAAACACTTATTTGTCTGCACAACAGGACTCATTTTGAAGCCCATCAGCAACACCAGCTCTTGAAATATGAAGGAATGCACCAACTTCACTTGCTCAGCAGTGCCATCCTCTAGACCCACCTATGCCACCTTCCAAAGACAGCAACCCTTCTCCCTCCTGTACAGGCTTCCCTCCCTTCATGACGCCCTCTTCTTTTAAAAGACAGCAAGACTCTCTGAGTCCAGGGATAGGTAAGAACTCACCCTTTGACAGCAGGAAGAAAATGCAGATGAGACGTTCATTCATTTATCATTGTAAGATGACAGTGGTCCAGAGTTCTGAAGGGCCATAGTCAGAGCACCAGAGCATCTCCCCCATGGGCCAATATGGCACAGGGGAAGCTTCTTACCCTAAGAGTGCCCAAAGCTAGAAAGATAAATGGATAGGGCCCAACACACTGCAAGACGAATGTACAGGACCCTAGAGTGCCAAAACCTGGCCAGATATTAACGTCCACTCCTCGTTAATTCTATAACTGCTGGCTTGAGTAGGAAGGGAATGTGATCTTTAAGAGGGGAGTTCTCCATTCTCCCAGGTCACTCAGCACCTGAATAAACCTCTTTCCTTGTGTACAAGCACCTATTTCAGGTGTTCTGCTTTCTTTGCCACAGGAAGCCAAACCTGTTTTATCATCCAGTTCCTGCAGGAAGGATGGAGAGCGATGCTGGGTGGGGAGACTGTTGTGCTGCACTCATCTCTCTTTCACCTTTTGAATTTTATCCTTTGTGTAAGACTTAAGTTTTTTTCATATTTCAAAAGATCATAACATTTAGAGAAGAGCAATAGATACTTCACTGGACTTACTGTTTCTCAAAAAAAGATACAAGTAACTGGGGAGTAATTTCAGCAATGTGTACAGATAACACTGACGTCCTGAAATAAATTTGTCCTTTGGCTTCACACTGACCAACTCCTGCCTCAGGTCCTTCTGCCCTCACTCCACCTGAGCTTGAGTCACTGAGCCTCCACCACAGGAGCTTGCCCCCCAGGAACTAACAAGCTCCCCACAGGGAGTGATGCCCTGAACCTACAGGATGGACCCTCTACTATATCAGGGAAGGTCTGTTTCCAGGGCCAGGAACTCAGAGGAGAGCAGCGCCCACAACAGAAAGCAGAGACCTCTGGTCCCTTACTTACTCAATAAGAGCACAGTTCTCTGTGTTTCGAACATCAGAAGGTCCATATACAAGAAGATAGGATACAGAAAACGTTCCAAGTCCTTATCATCGAAACAAGTGTGGACACTCAGCACACAGACACATTCTGTGATAAAGGGCCAGGAACAGAGCATCAAAGGGGCTTTGAGGGTGACATCAGCCTTGGCCTGAGGCCAGCCAAAGGCACAGCTTCTCTCCTGCATTGTGTGTCTTTGAGCCTCCTCCCCTCTAACCTATAAGTACAGCCTGACTGTGCCTCCACACCACTCACTCCTGTCCTCTCACCTGACACTCAGCTCCAGGTGACTCTCAGCCATGAGGACCCTCATTCTCCTCTCTGCCCTTCTCCTCTTGGCCCTCCAGGCCGAGGCTCGAACCCTCCAGGAGACAGCTGACCAGGTTCCCGCCCAAGACCAGCCAGAAGCCAAGGACCAGGGTGATCTTTGGGCTGAGGACCAGGACCAGGCTGGGGACGGTGACCAGGACATGGCCATCTCCTTCACAGGAGAGGAACGCCTTGCTCGAGCTGCAGGTGAGAGGCCAGCTAACTGGGTTGTGTGCAATTGGGTTCTGTGGCTTAGTAGGGGGGCTGGTTAGAAGGGGAGAGGAGTCTGGGCTCAAAGTTGGGTCTGAGCATTAAGAGGGGCTGAGGAGTAAGTACCCCATGTTGCAGAATAAATTTGTGGAAAAAGGGGAAAGAAATAAACATGTACATTAGAGACTAAGATCAGAGAACATTCATGATCATGCATGACTGCACAGAGCCAGTAAGATTCCTTGTGATTTATGAGAAACATGTGAATCCTTTCAGCCTTACCAGGCAGGTGTAGTCTATTGTGAGTAGACATGTTGTCTCTCAGAAGATCTCCTTGAGGCCCTTGAGGCTCTCCTCCCTCCCCACTTCCCAACTTGCCTAACCCTCCTCTTCCCATTCCAGACCTTCGGAACACAACCATCTGCACATGCCGAAGCAACTTCTTCTGCAAGTTGCTTGAGAGGAAGAGTGGAAGCTGTAGGTTCTTCGGCCATAAATACAGGCTTTGCTGTAAATAAGCTTCCTGGACTGAGACCCCAATGACTATGAGATTTCACTGAAGACCTAGACAATGGTTTAATCTTTGTACCTATACCTTTTCTTCTTTCTCGCTTCATAATAAACTTTAAGCATTAAACTCACTGTTTGGCTTTTATTTCCTTTCTTTAAGACTCATGTGTGTGGTTACCTTGTGTACAGAATTCTATCCTGATGGTTTAACAGTAAGTTAACCTGCCTTTCATTTCAGTGATACACAGATTAAGCATTGCACAGTAACAACAAACCAGCAAAAATGAACATAATTGTTAATTAAGACCATTTCAACCTACAAAATTAATACTGTTCATAATGAAACTCAAAAGAGGATATGGTTTTGGGTTTGTACTTTGGAGCCATGAGGGTTTTTCTGTTTCAACTCCTGAAGGGAGCCCACAGGCCTAAATTTCAAGATTGGTCCAGGTATAGCTGCGACCCAGTGACTAAGGAGGAACTGGTTTTCTACTGTAGCACTGCTTGGCCTGTGTGTTCTTTAGACAATGGGAAAAAATGGCCCCTAAATGGTTGGTTCCCTTACAGACTATACCCTCATAGAGTAGGAATTGTTTTCCAGGAAAATTACATGAGATCCCTCATATCTGGGTGCTATATCTTCACACAGTAAGTATTTAGCCAAATAAGGGAGAAATCTAATGGTGCAGAGAAGGGAATTGGTCTCCAAACCGCTCCCTGGTAATAATACACAGGAATAAAGGAGAAATGAAGAGATGGGGACATAGGATCACCAGCAGGAAGAGTTCCCCTGCCACTACCCTAGCTGCCCAGAAGAGTGGTCTCCCCTCAACACCTAGCATAACACCCCATTTGGCCAGGGAGCATCCTATCCAGGGCAGGGCAATTCCGTTGGAGGCCCTGCCCTGTAGATGGGATACCCCAAGAGGCCAGCCCACTGACTGCTATTGGGCCCATATTCAATTTCCCACTACAGATTCATTGAATTGAAAGCTTTCCAACCCCTTATATAGGAAGGACCCTCAGAACATGGGAGATCGTATCACTTCCAGTGTTGCCACTGACCATTCAAACTGGGCAGACATACAGGCTCTCCTTATCATCCTGCTAATGGTAGATGAAAAACAGCTAGTTATAAATATGGCTAATGAAGAGCTGCATCGCCTCCATCAAGACAATCCTAACAGGACCCAATGTAGCTGGCGCAATTCCCTTGGCAGAGCCCTACAAGGACCCAAATAGTGGGGACCTTGCCTTTCTAAAACATTACAAAAGGTAAATAAAGGAAAGGCTTAAGAAAAAGGTATCTAAACAAAAGAGCCTAAATATGATACAGGTCACTCAAAAGAGACTAAATGTAGATCCTTCTGAATTTTTAGAAAAGCTATATCAGATCTATTGAAAGCACACTGATGCTGGCCCATGGGCACTCGAAAATATTAGGATGGAAACATGAAAATTTAAAAAAAAAATTTAAATTGATTTTGAGAGAGAAAGGATGGGAAAGTGAGAGAGAGAAACATCAACATCAATTGGAGAGGGAAACATTAATTGACTGCCTCCCACATGTCCCCTACTAGAAATTGAGCCTGTAACTCGGGCACGTGCCCTGACTGGTAATCGAACCAACAACCTTTTGGTGCAGGGGATGACCCCCAACCACCTGAGCCACACTAACCAGGGCAGTAAACATGACTTTTATTGGGCAAAGTGCCCCAGATATCAGAAGGAAGCTCAGACATTTACACAGAGTGTTGGGCATGAATCCCTCCCAGCTGGTGGACAGAGCCTTCAACATTTACCATGCCTGGAGACAAGCACATTACAGCAGGCCACCATTTTCTTAGAAATAGTGCAGGAAACCAGAAGGAGAGGCGGGATCTGAAATGAAAGGAAAAGACTCACTAGGCAAAGAGGAAGACCATTGGAGAAAGGACTGACTAGAATTCCAGGAGAAAAATAAAGAGGATAGGAAACCTCACAAGAAATGGTAGAAAGGGATGATGAATCTTATGAAGAATGAGGAGGCCTAGCAGCTCCCACAGATACCCTCTGACCTATTACCGTTTCCCCATAGGAGCCCTGGGTACAATGGACAGTGGGGAACACGGCCTTTGATTTCCTTGTAGATATTAGAGCTACATACTCACTGCTAAATACAAAACTGACCAACAAAAGTTGAGCAGAAAGGGGATGTGACCAGATAATTACAAACCCAGGCATCCCTTCAACCTCTAGCATGCCAGCTTGGGGATCAGACACTTACCCTTCATTTTCTCTACTTGCCAGACTGCTCCTTCTCATTGATTTATTTAGTAAATTGCATGTACAAATTTTTGACTGGCAAAATGGGAGTGTTATACAGAGACTGGCATAGCCAAACTGATCCTGATTTTAAGAATCTCTGCAGTAGAGGAGTGAATTCCACCCAAAGCTCACTTTTAAAGAGTGCATTTTTTTGTTCCTTGGGATCTGCACTTGTTCTTTCATGTTAACTTAATTGCTGCTGCTCAGGGGAAGGAGAAGCAGCTTTTAAGTTTAAGAACATTGCTAAAATGTGGTCTCCAGCTCCAGGTGCTCCTGACTTGACCTGTAGTGAACTCTTTCTACCCAAGGTTTATGACCAGATCCACTGAGTACTTTGGGCTACTGAGAAGCCCAGGTAGGGAGGTTAACATCCAACTTGTCAAAATTAATCTGAAAGATAAATGGATAGGGCCCAACACACTGCAAGATACAGGACCCTAGAGTGCCAAAACCTGGCCAGATATTTGTATAGAAAAACACGTCCACCCCTTGTTAACTCTATAAACTACTGGCTTGAGCAGGAAGGGGATGTGATCCTTAAGAGGGGAGTTCTCCATTCTCCCAGCTCACTCAGCATCTGAATAAACCTCTTTCCTTGTGTACAAGCACCTATTTCAGGTGTTCTGCTTTCTTTGCCACAGGAAGCCAAACCTGTTTTATCATCCAGTTCCTGCAGGAAGGATGGAGAGCGATGCTGGGTGGGGAGACTGTTGTGCTGCACTCATCTCTCTTTCACCTTTTGAATTTTATCCTTTGTGTAAGACTTAAGATTTTTTTTCATATTTCAAAAGATCATAACATTTAGAGAAGAGCAATAGAAACTTCATTGAACTTACTGTTTCTCAAAAAAAGATACAAGTAACTGGGGAGTAATTTCAGCAATGTGTACAGATCACACTGACGTCCTGAAATAAATTTGTCCTTTGGCTTCACACTGACCAACTCCTGCCTCAGGTCCTTCTGCCCTCACTCCACCTGAGCTTGAGTCACTGAGCCTCCACCACAGGAGCCTCCATGTGTACCCCCCCCCCTCAGGACCTGACAATCTCCCCAACAGGGAGTGATGCCCTGAACCTACTGGATGGACCATTCACTCAGTTGGGGATGGTCTGGTCCTGGGGCCTGGGTCTCAGAGGTGAGCAGGACCCACATCAGAAAGCTGGGGCCTCTGGTCCCTGAATTACTGAACAAGAGCACCGTTCCCTGTGTTTTTTTTTTTTCCTGTTTTTTTTTTTCTTTTTTCTTTTTTCTTTTTCTTTCTTTTCTTTTTTTTTTTTTTTTTTTTAACATTAGCGGATCAATATCCAAGCAGACGGGAGACAGAAAACAGGCCAGTGTCCTAATCATCGTTATCACCTTGAAACATGTGTGGACACTCAGCACAAGGATAAGTGATGTGATGAAGGGACAAAAACAGAGCATCAAAGGGGATTTGAGGGTGATAGCAGCCTTGGCCTGAGGCCAGCCAAAGGCACAGCTTCTCTCCTGCATCAGAGCAAAATGCAGGTGTCTCTGAGCCTCCTCCCCTCTGACATATAAGTACAGGCTGACTGTGGCCTCCACACCACTCACTCCTGTCCTCCCACCTGACCCTCAGTTCCAGGTGACTCTCAGCCATGAGGACCCTCGTTCTCCTCGCTGCCCTTCTCCTTTTGGCTCTCAAGGCCCAGGCTCGGACCCTCGAAGAGACAGCTGATCAGTTTCCCACTCAGGACCAGCCAGAGGCCAAGGACCTGGGAAAACTATGGGCCGAGGACCAGGACCAGGCTGGGGACAGTGATCAGGATGTGGCCATCTCCTTCACAGGAGAGGAACGCCCTGCTCGAGCTGCAGGTGAGAGGCCAGCCCACTGGGTTCTGTGCAATTGGAATCTGTGGCCCATATAGGGGGGCTTGTAAGAAGAGGCAAGGAATCTGGGCTCAAAACTGGTGTGAGGATGAGGGGGGAGATGAGGAGTAGCAACTCCCTGTTGGCGAGGAAGGTTGTCGGAAGGGGGAAGGACATAAGCATGTACATCAGATGTGGGAAGCATAGGACTTGATTGGGAAGTTTGTGAGGAGGATTCTTCAAAATGTCAGAGGCCATTAGGTGGACTTTGCTGAAGACTTTTCCTAACAAGTCCAAGCTCCCAGGTGTTTTACTGGAATCTCTCTGTTTAGTCCTCAGACTCAACCTTGTAGAAGTTTGTGCTTTCTCAAGGATACTTACCCTGCTGATTTTGAACTAATTTTAGTTCAAGCTGTTGTGACAATAAAAGCCTAAGGAAGCAGGCAAATGGGGCTGTTTGAATCCTAGAGCCAAGCATTCTCTTAGCCCTCTCTTTCACAGAAACATGTGTCAGAGCAATCCATTCATCTATCGCTCAGGGTGTGCTGGTCAGTCGTGGCAATCCTAGACTAGGATCAGAGAAAATTTATGATCCTGCATGATCACACAGAGCCAGTAAGATTCCTTGTGATTTATGACAAACAGGTGAATCCTTTCACCTTAACCTGGCAGGTATTGTCTATAGTGAGCAGACATGTCCTTCTTAGTAGATCTCCATGAGGCTGTCTGTGCCTCTCCTCCCTGTTCATTCCCCACTAAATCTGATCCTATTACTCCCTCTGCAGGACCTCCCAAAATAACCATAAAGAGGGTCTGCCATTGCCGACGCAAGTGCCGATTTTCCATCTTCCCAAAGTTTTCTGAGCGTTTATCTGGGGTGTGTAACATCTTTGGTGTTCTAAGCAAGCTCTGCTGTCGCTGAGCTGTGACTGAGACTCGAAGCACCGCAAGATGCCCCTGAAGACCTGAAAAGGGTTTAGTCTTTGCACCTGTGCCCTTTCTTCTTCCTATCTCAATAATAAATTCAAGCATTAAACCTATCGTTTGTTTTTTCCTCTCTTCCATGAGATTCATACACATGGTTCCTTTATATAGAGAATTCTGTGCTGAACAATCAAGTTAATTTGTCTTTGTATCTCACAACTTGAGCATCACATGGTAATTAAAAACCAGAAAAAGTGAATATAATTTTAATTAAGATAATTTGGATCTACAAAATAAATCTCATTCATAATTAAACTCAAAAGAGGGAGGTTCTGGACGCAGAGTATCCAGAAGGTGTTGATTTGAGGACAAGCAGAACCAAAGGATTATGTTACTTGTTCTTTGATTTTAAGATGCAAGAGGGCAAATATATATATATTCTCATGACAAGCAGGCATTTTAGTTACCCATATATTTTTCTAAGACATAACAACTGGATAGAGTGAACTAATGGCCATCAACAAGAAGATGTACCAAAAAGAGATATACTGATTAGCATCAGTGTCTCAAATAATGACCAGAGAAAGGGGAGCACAGAAGCCAATCCAGTGAATGACCAGTGAAAGAAAGCGTCCCTTTTTGAACCCCAAATGGTATATTATTCCAATGTCTAATGATGGAGTAGTCTTCTCTCTCTTTCTCTCTCTCTCTCTCTCTCTCTCTCTCTCTCTCTCTCTCTCTCTCGATTGACTCTATTAGTTATAATAAACCTGTACAAATTTTAACTTCTGGCAAGAAATAATACATCCTTATTAATGCCAATGATAGTCCCTTCACTCCTGATTTGGAAAGGAGGCTGCTGAGAAACCACTGGGTATAAAAGAGGCCCTGTTTCTAGAAGAGGCCTCTTCGCTCTCCTTTCCCTTTTCCAAGGTTGCCATAGATGTCCTTACAGCCACGACCTGTGTTCTTCCCTGGACCTATGTTGTACTGATAGAACCCTCACTTCCTCTGTGACCACTTCTATTTGGAGAATTTTTTCCCTAAAAAGATTGAGGAGGAGGAACAGTTGTATGTTTAGCTTTATTATTAGTCTGCATGACATTCCCTGCTTCCACCAATACCACACGAAAGCCCTGACATGTGGAAGACTGGGCTTTACAAACTTTAGTGGGAAAGATGCAAAACTCATAAATTTCCCCCCTAAAGCATTTTAGAAACCACATAAAAATCCAAAGTATCTGTGTAGACCAGAGAAAAGGGGGAAAGAAGTGACAAGTTCTGAAAATTATTTGCAGCTTTTGGGGTAAAGAACTCATCTCCAGAACTTAAAAATGAATTTAAAATGTATAAAAATCAGCCAGCTATTTTCATTTCCTAAAAGAGATGCCTATAAATGGAAAACATTTCACAGAAAAACCAGTACAGGTCAGTGTGGCTCCTGACTCCCGAGAGAAGCAAAGCCAGGACTCCCTGGGATGGAAGTTCTTACCTGTCAGAGGGGAAGATGCCACCACCCCCCCCCTCAGTCCAAGTGTCACACTGCTTGCAGCCAACACCATGACCCCAGCATCCCTTCCACCAGCGGCTGCAGGAAGTAAGGAGCGTGTTTTTCCCAAGTCACCACAGTCTGTTGAGAGCAGCCCGGGAGGTCTTGACATGGCTCAACCTGGGCCTCAAGGACGAGCTTCTCACATCCTCCTGTCCCACCATCCACATGGAGTAAACGTCCTCTTCACGGTCAAAATCCAGCTGGCACAGGTCCACGACTCCTTGCCTTCCCACAGAGATAGGGATGAATATATGAAACAGCAGCATAGTACAAATAAGGAGCAGTAATTCATTTTATCATTTTATAATGGACCCTTCCCAGGTAGTTCATTTTATTGTTCAGAACACTATTTACTGGTCACTCTGACTGCAAGACAGTTGGGACAACAAGTGTTTTTAACAAAGAACATTGCTACCCAGATTGAGCAGGAAGAATGATGAAATTGGGGAATCACAAGGCCTTTTAAATACTCTCCACAGGTTCATAAGGAAAAGACAGATAGAGGACACAAATCAATGAAGTCAGAAATGAAAGTGGGAAAGTAACAACTGACATCACAGAAATACAAAGGATTGTAAGAAAATACTGTGAACTATATGCCAACAAATTGGACAACCTGGGTGAAATGGATAAATTCCTAGAGGTGTACATCTTCCTTAAGTGTATCATAAATAATCAGAAAACCCAAACACAGGGTTCACAACTGATGAAATTGAAGCAGTCATTTCAAAAGCTTCCAGCATACAAAGCCCAGGTTCAAATGGCTTCACAGGCAAATTTTACCAAACCTTTACAGAAGAATTATCACTTATTTTCCTCAAACTATTCCAAAAAATTTCAAAAGGAGGGAAGACTTCCAAACTGTTTTTATGAGACCAGCATTATCCCATTTCAAAACAATATCTAGACACTACAAAGAAAGAAAATTAAAAGCCAATATCCCTGATGAACAAAGATGCTAAATTCTCTACACAATGTTAGCAAACGAGATCCAGAAATATATATATATATTTTTTTAAATAAGTTTTTATTGTTCATATTATTACAAATGTTCCTTCCCCCCCCCCCCCACCATTGCTCTCCTCCATCAGGTTCCCACGCCACCCTCTGCCCTTTCCCCACTCCCCATTGTCCTCATCCATAGGTGCACAGTTTATGTTCAGTCTCTTCCCACATCCCCTTCTCCCCTTTTCCCAAAGAATCTTCAGTTCACTCCCCTTCCATACCTCTGATTCTATTATATTCAACAGTTAATATTGTTCATCAGATTTTTTTTTTAATTTCCTTGGTTTTTTTTAGATTCACTTGTTGATAGTTACATATTCGTTGTTCATAATTTTTATCTTTATTTACTTTCTCTTCTGAAAGAACCCCCTTCAGCAATTCATATAATTCTGGTTTGGTGTTGATGAACTCCTTTAGCTTTTTTTTTTTTTTTTTTTTTTTTAGTGAAGCTCTTTATCTGACCTTCTATTCTGAGTGATAGCTTTGCTGGATAGGTTATCTTTGGCTGTAGGTTCTTACTATTCATCACCTTGAATATTTCTTGCCATTCCCATCTGGCCTGCATGGTTTCTGTTCAGAAGTCAGCTAACAATCGTATAGGTGCTCCTTTATAGGTAACTACCTTCTTTGCTCTTGCTGCTTTTAATATTTTCTCTTTGTCTTTCGCTCTTGGAATTTTAATTATGATTTGTCTTGGTGTGGTCCTCTTTAGATTCCTTTTGTTTGGAGTTCTGTGCACTTCCTGGACTTGTAAGTCTAATTCTTTCACCAGGTGGAGGAAGTTTTCTGTCACTATTTCTTTCAGTATGTTTTTGATATCTTGCTCTCTCTCATCTTCTAGGACCCCCATAATTCTGATGCTGGTTTGCTTGAAGTTGTCCCAGAGGTTTCTTACATTATCTTCAATTTTCTGGATTCTCTTTCCTTCTAGCTTCTGTGGAGGAGCGTCTTCTGGCTCTTTATGTCCCAAATCTTTGACTTGATTCTTGCGATCTTCCATTCTGTTTTTAGGACTCTATATAATATTTTTTATTTCAGAGAATGTATTCTTTGTTTCTTGTTGATCTCTTATCATTTCTTGTTGATCCCTTAACATTTCTTGCTGATTCCTTATTAATTCTAGTTGATCTCTTTTCATATCCTCATAGGTTTTATTGATCTTTTCTAGGAAATTCTTGAAAAACCTTATAAGCATAGATTTGAACTCTATATCCAGTCGCTTTTTGTCCTCCATTTCTTTCATTTGTGATCTATTTCGTGGTCGCATTTCGCAGTTATAGATGGGATGGGATTTCAGGGTGGAGCCTACAGCTTTGGCTTCCGTCAGCCCCGCCCTATGCGACTCCTGAGACTCAGGGTCCTTCAGTACTCGCTGTAAGCGCCTCTGAGAGAAAGGTGTCCTCAATTTTCACCTGCTACCAAACAGTCTATGCTCTCCCCCAATGAGCCTTGTATTGGGGTTCAGTTCAGTTGGAAGTGGAGTTGGAGGTGGCATTCAGGGCAGTCTGGAGCCCCCGTCTTCTTCCCGCCAGGGCACTCCCACGGCACAGCCAATGGTCCCTTCTCTGTGCGCAATGTGCAGGCCGCTGGGACCTCCTTTCGCCGCTCCCCCGGGTTCCGCATTACAGCCCAGCTCCCCCTGTGTGAGCCTGGGTCCCCAGAGTCTGGCCTAGAACTGGGGTTCAGAGCAGTTGGAACTGGGGCCCAGCACAGTCAGAGCGTTTATCTCCTTCCCGCTAGGGAACGCCCGCCAGGCAATCAGCCGCCCTCCTCTCCGGCTCCGTCCTCTCCGTGCGTGTGTCTCTGTACCTCTGGCTTTTACAGCTCCTCCGCACTTCCTTCTGGTTTTCTCCTGGCTTCTCGTTGTAGAATTTCCAGTCAGTCAACTTTCCTGTAGTTCTGGGTAATGTCCATTTTATATTTTAGTTGTGTTTTATTGAAATTGTTGTATGCGGCTGAGGCTAGGTGTTTATCTGGGTGCAGCCATATTGGATTCTCCCAGAAATATATTTTTAAAAACTCCTACACCACAATCCAATGGGATTTATTCCAGGCATGCAAGGTTGGTACAAAATTTGCAAACCAATAAATATGATACATCACATAAACAAAATGAAAGGTAAAAATTAAGTGATCATATCATAGAAGCAGAAAAAGCATTTGATAAAATTTAGCACCCATTTATGTTAAAAGCTCTCATCAAAGTGGAAATAGAGGGATCTAGCCTCAATATAATGAAGACCATATATGACAAACCCACAGCCAACATCACACTCAATGAGCAAAAACTAAAAGTGTTTCCCTTAAAATCAGGAACAAGACAGAGATTTCTGCTTTCACCACTCTTATTCAACATAATACTAGAAGTCTTAGCCACATCAATCAGACAAGAACAAAACATAAAAGGCATTTGAATTGAAAAGGAGGAAATAAAATGGAATTATTTGCAGGTGACATATTGCACATAGAAAATCCTAAATACTCAAACAAAGAACTACTAGATTTAATTGATGAATTCGGCAATGTAGCAGGATACAACATTCATATTCAGAAGTCAGTGGCATTTTTACACACCAATAATTAACTATCTGAAAGATAAATTAAGAAAACAATCCCATTTACTATTGCAGAAAACAAAATACCTAAGAATAAATTTTACCAAGGTTGTAAAAGACCTGTACTTGAAAAACCATAGGACATTGAAGAATAAAAATGAGAATGATACAGATAAGCAGAAGCATATACCATGTTCATGGATTGGAAAAATTAATTCATTAAAAGATTGATATTACCCAAAGTAATCTACAGATCCAATGAAAGTCCTGTAAAATACCAATGGCATAATTCACAGATCTAGAACAAATACTCCAAAAATGTATATGGAACAAAAAGACAACAGTTGCCTCAGCAATGTTGAGAAAGAAGAACAAAGTTGGAGGTATTATAATACCTAACATCAAACTAAAATACATGGACATTGTGATCAAAACAGACTGGTACTGACATAAGATCAGGCAATAGATCAATGGAACAGAACAGAGAGTGCAGAAATACACCTATGCTCATGTGGCCAATCAATACTTACTTCGAAGAGTAAAGCATAACAATGGGTTAGGCTATCTCTTCAACAAATGGTGTTGGGATATTTTAACAGGTATATGAAAAAATAAAAAAATAAAAAAACTAGACCATCAACTTATACCATACACAAGGATAAACTCAAAATGAATAAAAGACTTAAATGTAAGTCATGAAACCGTAAAAATCCTAGAAGAAAACATAGGCAGTAAAATCTCAGACATCTCTCATAGCAATATTTTTGCTGATATATCTCCTAGGGCAAGGGAAACAGGAAAAAATAAACATATGGGACTAGACCAAACTTAAAAGCTTCTAACATCTAAGAACCATTAACAAAAGGTAAAGGGAACCCACTGTGTGGTAGAATAGATTTGCCAACGACACATCTGATAAAGTGTTAATTTCCAAAATATATAAAGGACTTATACAACTCAACACTAGGAAGATAAACAATTCAATTAAAAATGAGCAAAGGACCTAAATAGATACTTCCCCAAAGAGGACACACAGGTGGCCAGTAGACATAAAAAGATCAGAGAGAGAAATTTAAAACCACAATGATATGTCACATCACACCTGCCAGAATGGCTACTGTCAATAAATCAACAAACAGGAAGTGCTGGTGAGGATGTGGAGAGAAGGGAACTCCGGTGCACTGCTGGTAGCAATGCAGACTGGTGCAGTCACTTTGAAAAACAGTATGGAGGTTCCTCAAACAATTAACAATGGAACTGCCTGTTAACCTATTTTTTTTTTTTAATAAGACCAGCATTATCCCCATTTCAAAACAATATCAAAAAGCGATCCCATTTCTAGGAATATATCCTAACAATCCAAAAATTCTAATTCAAAAGAATATATGCACTCTATATTCATTGAAAGGTCCTTTATAATAGCCCAAGTGCCCATGAGGAGATGAGTGGATAAGAAAACTGTGGCACATTTATACAATGGAATAACAAAGAAAGAAATCTTACTTTTTGCCACAGCATGGATGGACCTAGAGGTAATTATACTAAGTAAAGTAAGCCAGCTAGAGAAAGACAAATACTGTATAATTTCACTTACATGTGGAGTATAATGAATAAAACAATCTGACAAATAGAAACAGAGCATGGATATATGAGACACCTGTCAGAAGGGAGAGGCAGGAGATGGATGAAAGAAGTGAAGGGGTCAGCCAGAGAGCATATATGCATAATCCATGGACACAGTCACCAGTGTGCAGGTGGCCAGAGGGAAGAGGGTGGTGTTAACTGAGTGGAGATGGGTCAAGTGGGTGGCAGAGGAGAAAAGAGACCTCAATAATAGGGTCAGTAAAAAAAAAAAAAAAAGGAATATTTGACAGAACAACAAAAAAAAGTGAAGCAGTAACAGTTATTCATTTTATTATTCAAAAATTGGCCTTCCTAGGGTTTCACTGGAACTCTGTTTATTGGCCACTCTGACCTGCAAGAGAGTCTGGGACCTCAAATGCTTTAACAACAAACATCACTGCCAGGTACCAGGAGGGAAGAGAATGATGAGGTTGGGGAATCACCATGAAAATCCCACTGTGTGGGGGGAGCAGTTGTACTCATGCCTATATTTCAATGAGCGATGTCAGGACAACCTCTGCAGAGGACAGTAAGTTAATGTCTGTTCAAGGATGTTATCCCACAATCCACTTCTACAAATTTATCTAAAAGACCGCCACACATAAACAAGATGATGTATGTAAAAAGATACTCATTGGCATTAGGCTTATAACTGTGAACATTTGGAAACAAGCAAATTGTTCGAATTTAATGATTAATAATAAATGTTAACTCTGACCAACTTTTGCTTCATGTCCCCCTGCCCTCACTCCATCTAAGCCTGAGTCACTGGTCCTTCTACCATAGGAGCCTGCCCCCAAGGATATGAAAAGCTACCCAACAGGGAGTGATGACCTGAACCTGCAGAATGGACCCTCCACTCCCTCAGGGAAGATCTGGCCCCAGGGCCAGGGACTCAGAGGTGAGCAGGGCCCACATCAGACAGCTGAGGCATCTGGTCCATGACTTACTCAATGAGAGCACAGTTCCCTGTTTTGTGAACATCAGAAGGTCAATATCCAAGCAGATGGGAAACAGAAAACCTGCCAGGTCCTTATCATCATTATCACCTTGAAACAAGTGTGGACAATCAGCACACAAACACGTGCTGTGATGAAGGGCCAGGAACAGGTACATCAAAGGGCTTTGAGGGTGACAGCGGCCTTGGTCTGAGGCCAGCCAAAGGCACAGCTTCTCTCCTGCAGTGTGTGTCTCTGAGCTTCCTCCCCTCCGACCTATAAGTACAGCCTGATTGTGCCCTCCACACCACTCACTCCTATCCTCTCACCTGACCCTCAGTTCCAGGTGACTCTCAGCCATGAGGATCCTTGCTCTCCTCACTACTCTTCTCCTTTTGGCTCTCCAGGCCCAGGCTTGGACCCTCCAAGAGACAGCTGACCAGGTTCCTGCCCAGGACCAGCCAGAAGCCAAGGACCAGGGCGAGCTATGGGCCGAGGACCAGGACCAGGCTGGGGACGATGACCAGGATGTGGCCATCTCCTTCACAGGAGAGGAACGCCTTGCTCGAGCTGCAGGTGAGATGCCAGCCAACAGGGATCTATGCAATTGGGTTTGTGGCCTATTAGGGAGGCTTCTTATTAGGGGAGAGGAGTCTGGGCTCAAATTTGAATGTGAAGATCAAGAGGGGTGAGGGGTAGGTACACGGTGTTGGAGAGGAAGTTTGTGGAGCAAGGGGAAGGACATAGCATGTGCATCAGAGACTAGGATCAGAGAACATTCATGATCCTGCATGACCGCACAGAACCAATAAGATTCCTTATGATTTATGAGAAACATGTGAATCCTTTCAGCCCTACTGGGCAGGTGTTGTCTATGGTGAGAAGCAAGTTGGTCTCTCAGAAGATCTTCTCCTAGCCCTCTCCCTGCTGTGCCTGACCATCCTCCTCTGTCCACAGAACCTGGGAAAATAAAAATAAAGGGCTGCCACTGCCGTCGCCACTGCCGAGTCACCATCTTGGGTGAGTTGCTGGAGCGTGTCGCTGGCGTGTGCAAATTACTTGGTCGTCGCCGCAAGCTGTGCTGCAAATGAGCTTTGTGGATCAGAACCCGAAGCATGGCGAGATGCCCCTGAAGACCTGGAAATGGATTTAGTCTTCGCACCTGTGCCCTTTCTGCTTTCTCCAAAATAAACCTCTAGCATCGAGCTCACTGGCTGGCTCTTGTGTGTGTGTTTGGTTTTACTTTGTGCTTCTCATGGCAAATTCCTGCAGGCCCTTGTGTGGATAATTGTGTCTGATGTCCCGGCGACCTGCACCTTCCCCGGGTTTCACCGGCCCCTCTGCTCCCATTTACTATGGGAGGCAGGAGAGTCCTCACATGTCCTCTGCAGACTCCCAGGGACTGCTCTTGCTCCTTGTACTTTGTTCTGGTTCCTTGTTCATCCCAAACAAAGTCCTCTTATTTATGCTTTTCTGATGTTTGACATGTCAGGATCCCTTTGATGCAAATCATGACAACTTGAGTCTTCCTGCAAATACAGCCTCCCACATGTGAGTGGGTGCAGGAATCACCCCAAATTCCACCTCAGTAGGTCCACAGCCCAAAGGAGACATCCACCTCCCCTCTGTCTGCAGCTCCAGTGTGAACACTTGTATCCAGGCCCATCTCTCATGTGGCTGGGCCCCTCCTCACTCCGCGTGCCTCACCCCACCCCACCCCACCCGGTGCTGGCTGGCGTTTTTGGACTCGCATGGGTCTAACGGCTTCTGATTGCAGAGAGCAAGCTGGCCTTTCTGTGAATTTTATCAGAATCTTGAGGCGGGCGCAGCATGGCCAGGACCTGGGACCACCCAAGTGCAGGACATCTGAGTGAAGGCCGGAGGTCCCACTAGGTGGGCACATGGGCAGTCACAACCCATTTCAAACCCATGGGGAAAGTAGGCTCTTCCCCATGTCAGGATGGGAGGGACTTCCTCGGCTGCCCACCGCCGCTTCTCCTCCCCACACTCCACACTCCAGGTGCACAGCTCCCCAGACTCCTGTTTGCCACCCAGGCAATGCCTCCGCCCCAGCTCACTACCAGGGGTGACACCTACTCAAGCAGCCTCCTTTGCTCCCTGAGTGGTCTGTGGGGTCACTGATTCAACAGAAGTTACTCAGTCCCTGCTCTGGGCCAGGCTAGGTCCCGGGCCCTGTTCCTTTCACCTTTGAGCTGCAAGAGAAAAGCACTCTGACCTCCAGGGCCCTGGTGCCCGCAGTTCAGCTAAAGAACCCGAGGAAGCACAACTTTATTTTTATTTTAAATATATTTTTATTTATGTCAGAGAGGAAGGGAGAGGCAAAGAGAGGTAGAAACATCAATGATGAGAGAGAGTCATGGATCGGCTGCCTCCTGCACACCCCACATTGGGGATCAAACCTGTAACCCGGCCATGTGCCCTGACCAGGAATCAAACCGTGACCTCCTGGTTCATAGGTGGATGCTCAACCACTGAGCCACACTGGCTATACAGAAGCATCACTTTAAAATCAACTCATTAATAAGCTGTGTGCATTAAACTGTTAGCACACAGAGTCTGGGTCCTGCCCCAGCAGAAAATGGTCACAACTTCGCTGCCCGGATTTGGAGCCAAGTTGTTCCAGGTGGAGAAGAGCTGGAGGAGTGGGGCGAGGCGGGAGGAGAGGAAACAGGGAGCCTCAGGGCAGGAGGAAGCACCCCCTATCTTTGTGGGGACATGTTTGTCAGAAGTCCTGGGACTGGACACTCAGGACTGTGCTCACACCGTCCTACTGCGTGTGATTCGATAAGAACTTGCTGAATACCAAGTGTTAGCTTTGTAAATGCCAGAATTAGGTCTAGAAATTGAAAGTGAATAAATAACGAGACCAACGGGGGAGGAGGAGCTGGGATGACCTCTGCATGATCTCTCACCTGATGCTTTCGGGAATCGCAGGACTCCTGGAGGGCCCTGGACATGGGAGGTCATTGCACTCTGCTCACTGGCGGGACACGCCGCAGCCACAGAGCTGCTTAGCCTCTCATCTGAGAAGGACCATCCAGTGGATGCCACTTCCTGCTCACCTGGGCATGAACTCTGGTCACTGATGGAGCCAGGTGTCCGCTCCCAAACCCTGAGAACACCCTGAGAACAGGGATGGAGGAGAGCACAGCGATGTTTGTCTCAACCCGCCTGCCAGAGGCGTCCAGCATGGAGTTTGCCCCCAGAGGCCAGGATGGAGTGGGTGGGGCAGAGGTCACCTCCTAAGACTCCCCACCCCCCCAGAGGCTGACATCCCTGAACAAACACAGGTGTGCGCTCCATCACATGGTGCTTCACCACTTGCAAAGCTCTCTCCTGTGTGGTATCTCTCTCCTGTGTGGCACAAGCCCCGAGAGAAATGCCCCCATTCCTCATTTCCAAACTGGCTTGGGAGAGGGACGTGCTGTCCCCAGGTGGCCAAGCCTCTGTGTGACCAGGACCCGGAGTCCAGGCGTGAGGCCAGGGCCCCAGGGTGTTTTCAGCTCAGGCTTCGAATGGCTGGCAACCCACACTTTAGGGAAAGGTGAGCAAGCATAGCTATAGGCAGTCAGATGACAAGGAACCCGTAAGCCCAAGGAACATCTTGTGATGGTTAATTGTAGGTGTCAATGTGCCCAGGTATTTCATCAAATGCCATTCCAGATGTTTCTGTGGGGGTGTTTTGGGAGAGCTGGACATTTATATCTGTGATCTTCGAGTAAATCAGATTTCCCTCACACAACCAGTTGAAAGCCAGAACAGAAGCAAGACGGACTTCCCAGAGCCAAGAGGGACCTGCCAGCAGTTGGCCTTTGGACTTGAACTACAACATTGGCTCTTCCTTGGGTCTCCAGCCTGTGGCTCTACCCACTCTCAGGGTTTTTTTGTTGTTGTTGTTTTTTGGTGTGCTTTTTTTTTTTTTCTTTTTTTTCTTGCCAAGCCTCCACAATCACATAAAGAATTCGGTTTTGTTTCTCTGGGGAATGCTTATGGATACATCCCCAAACCTGAATAAGTGATGAGGATGAAGCTGACACCCACCCCACCCCCCTGGAAAACCTTTGTCTGGGCTCCTGAACCTCTCAGGGGGAGAGTGATTGCTAACATAGACACATTCAAGATGGCTTGACAAACACTTTTCTTTACGAGCTGCTCCAAGCAAGACTGGACCAAGCCTGGGCTGGTGTGGCTCGGTTGGCTGGAGTGCCGCCTGTGCACAGGAGGACCACGGGTTCTGGTCAGAGTACACGAGTAAGTTGCATGTTTGACTCCAGGTCAAGGCACATACAAGAGGCAACTGATCAATCAATGTTCTCTCTCACATCGATGCTTCTCTCCCTCTCTCTTTTTCTCTTTCTTTCTCCTCTCTCTCTCTCTCTTTCTCTCTCTCTCTCTCTCTCTCTCTCTCTCTCTCTCTCTCTCTCTCTCTCTCTCTCTCCCTCTCTCTCTCTTCTCTCTAAAAAACAAAAACTTTAAAAAAAACACAAAGAAAATATTCAGCAAATTCAGGTACCCCTAAGAATCTCTGGGTAGAAGAGGGGAGGATGTCACTGTGGGATTTCCATGTTCATTAAAGGGATAGAAGGTTTTCACATCTGGAGAACAATGAGAGCCATTCCAGTCACCTGGTGGAGGAGTGTGCATAGCTCTCTGTCCAGCCACCAGAGGGTGACAGTGAGCCCAGCCGGTGCCCAGGCCCTGTACAGCAAGGACAACTTTGCTGGCTGTGGAAATGGCTCTTCTATGCATCTTGCTAGGAATTCTTTTTTTACCATTGTCTCCACTAAAGTTTAGGAGAAAACAGGGGAACCTAAGTCCTTATGTGGCCAGAGACAATGAGACCATGGTCCTTGTCTTCTTGAAGGAAAGACCTCAATCAAGAGCCAAAGTGCAGCAAAGTGAGCAAGCATGTACTGGCTACACCATAACAAGGGAGGCTTAGGAGAAGCAACAAGAGAGCCCAGGCCGGGCTGCTCTGGCTCACTGGGAAGTCAGAGATAAGGGGGTCAGGGAGTGAGCCCAAAATGAGCTGCCGCCGCCCACTGCTCTCCCCTGGCTGCAAGTCTCCTGGGGAACCTTAGAGAAAGGAGGAAGGGAACGGTGTGGGTGGGCTCCCTGGTTCTTTGTGTTGAGAGCACTTATTTTTCTTGTAGGTGAGATTCTTAGGGGAGTTCTTAAGGGAGGGTCTCAATAGGATATTCCCCTGCTCCCCAGGAGTGCTCTATCAGGGTCATTTCTCCACTGACTGTTTGGTGCCAGGGTCAGGGACCATCAGTCACGGCAGCTGGTCCTGAATCAGCTACAGTATCAATTCTCTGGTTGTGCTGCTTCTCTGGGCCTGGAGCTGACATACAACTGAGGCTTAGGTGTTATTTCCAAGGAGGAAAGGTCAGGGGTCCAAACCCCATGACCAGCGATGTGCGAAGGGTGGAAAGGTCACCTTGGGGTGAGGTTCTTGTTGTCTAGTTTTGCCCCTTGCTAGGCATCAGGGCTTCTGCCCAGGTGAGCTTCGGCATCTGGTCCATCATCCTTGCTCGGCTCAAGTCAAATCAGGCCATTTCCCTGTTGCTTACTCTGCTCAGACTTCTCCTGGAACTTAGCCAACTAGAGGAACTGTTCCAGACCCCACCCCCTCATCGGATCACTAGAACCTGGAACACCATCTACCCTGTGTCCTACAGCTCCTCTGTCTCACTCTATGTGACCTGGTGGGTTGATAGGTGACACCTGGTAATTGACCTCACTCAGCAGAGGGAACACCGTGCATGCACTTCCTGGCCTCATGTCCCCCTGGGCCAGGCTTGTTCCCGCCCCATGCTCCTGCAGGTTTGGCTCTCAGGGTTGTCGGCCCACATAGCACGGCCCATACATGGCTCTGGGACGTGTGCTGAATGACTCAGAGGAGCACCTCCACGTGAATTAGGCTCCCGGTGGTCGCACTGATGAGGGCAAGCCCCCAACAAACCTATTTCCCCTGGGACTGTGCGGTGCATGTGGCCCTCAGGCCAAGGCATGCACTCAGACAGCTGGTGGGGAGGTGACACCATGGCATATGGGAACAGAAAGAGAA